AGGGCCGCGCCAGCCGGGCTCGGCCCCTCCCCCCTTCCTGAACTCTCGTCGGGCTACACGCGGGCCTGGGACGGGCCGGGCTTGTTTTTCTGTAGCTTTCTCGAATCCTCTCGTACAACGGCAAAATCTGAAACGTCTTTAGACTGCGTCACTAACTCCCGTCCAATTCCAAGCTGTTGTTCTTTGAGTTCGCACTCGATTTCGTGGGTTAATCTTGATTTTTAAAAAGGGTAGAGCGGGCGCGGTGGCCCACGCCTATAATCCCAGCACTTAGGGAGGCAGAGGCAAGAGGATTGCTTGAGCCCAGGAGTTTGAGACCAGCCTAGGCAATATAGTGAGACCTGTTCTTTACAAAATAATTGCAAAAAGTCCCTACAGGGCGTGGTGGCGCGCGCCTATGGTCCCAGCTCCTCGGGAGACTGAGGTGGAAGGGTATCCTGAGCCCAGGAGGACGCGGCTGCGGTGAGACGTGATCGTGCCACTGCACTCCAGCCTGGGCGACAGTGAGACTCCAACTAAGACAAAGAATAACAGAAAAAAACAGGGTAAAGTCGAGCTGCCTTGCACCTCAAAATGGAAACACTTTTTGCTTTACGGCTTGGCTTCTTATAGGAGTGTTGTGTGTTGTAGGGGACGGCAAAACAGAACAGAAAGGCGGAGATAAAAAGAGAGGTGTTAAAAGACCTCGAGAAGATCATGGCCGTGGATATTTTGAGTACATTGAAGAGAACAAGTATAGCAGGTAGAGGATGCTAAGTAGTTTTTACGTCACGCATTATTCGTTCGTTCGTTGATCAGAAAGCTGTATCAGGAGACGATTCTGTCTTTCAGAGCCAAATCTCCTCAGCCACCTGTTGAAGAAGAAGATGAACACTTCGATGATACAGTGGTTTGTCTTGATACTTGTAAGTGAAGCTGTTTCTGCCTCCTCCCCCACATATCAAATGCGGTGGTTTTTTTGCTTCCAAAATGTTAGAAAATGCAGTTGAACTTAACTGCAGAAAACTTAGGCTAGTTTTTTAAAAGCAGGAAGATAATGACTTAATATTCAGATTCCAATAGTTTAATATTTAGCATGGTGTATTAAATTGACTATTTTACAGGCTCTAGTATGATATTATGACTTGAAAGTTCGCATTCTAAGAACGTAAGGTTATGCCGATTTTTGACTAATTAGCTAACGAAAAGTTGTAAAACTACCTATAGCTTGTCCTTATGGGCTTCAACAATAAAGTAATTTCATTTTTCTAGTGGAATTATATTAAGTGAGCTATTTGGGCTAGTTATGTATTTACTGATGACTTTTCCCATTAGCACACAAGTATATTCCCTATTCTAAAAGACTGTAATATTATTTTTTTCAATAACTGCTCTTTTGTTCTCAATTCCAGTTCAGTAGCTGCTGCTTTAACATAAGTTGATTTCTTCCAAAGACCTGGGGCAGCAGCAGTGGGCTATCACTGGGCCACTAGCTTTCTTCAGCAGCGAATGGTATCAATGGCAGCACTGTAAATACTGCTACTTTACCCAGTTGGGTTGCAATTGAGTATGAGGAAGTATTGCAAACCTCTAAATGGGATTTGGCTGTCAGACTTGGATATTTTTTTGTTAAACGGAAGTTAATGTTGGTTTAGTGATCTTTCAATGGCATAAATAGAACAAAGGGGAGAAAAAAGTTTGCCAAGTATGAGATAAAGTGTCAATCTGCTTTGGTAGATGGAAGGAGTTAAGTTTTAATTACCATGTTTTGTTGTACATACTGGATTCAGATTTGTAAGAGTGTAAATGAAAAACTTTTTGATTTCTTACTGAATATCCTTTACAGGGAGTTGAAATAGTCTGTTGAGCCTTCCAAAAGAAGAAAAACTTGTAGGCAGAAAGGAAGTTAGTTGATTTGAAAGTTTTCTGTGAAATTCAGTTGCTTAGATAAAAAGCTGCTAGGAATTGGCAAGGCGCTGAATGATTTTGATGCAATGATGTGAGAAGGTAATGCCACTGTTGTAGACAGATTTTTAGCGGATTTGCTGGGAATACCATTTAAGTGCGATTAAGTTCAAACACAATTTGTTGAATTCTACTGGTGATTAGGAATTTTAGGAGCAAAGTTAACTAAAGGTCAATTCCAAGCTGTAGGTTTAATTTTCTTTCATCAATAAAAACTCCTGAAGAAAATAGCTTTCTAACTTTAATTTAGTGAGACCTGAAAAGGTGCATGCTAATAAGCCAGTGACCCATGGGTAGCTAGGTTAAAGACACATTGGATTTGGCTAATCCGGGAAGTGATTAATCCCTCATTGTTACTAACAGGCAATCCTGGGGGAAGAGAACCTGAAGTGCTGTGATAACAGCTTAGATGACCAGGTTTGTGCTTGTAGGTTGAGGCTGTCTTCACAAGTTTTAGAAAAGATTTTAGGTCTTAGAGCCCTGGTGTTAAGTTACAAAGTGCAGGATCAGCAGCTCATACTCTTATTTTAAAATACTTGGTTGCGGCCTCCCTTCAGTTTTAATGTGGCACTGGTAAATTCTACCTGGTTCTGGCATACTTCACTTTGATTTCCTGCTATCCTCTCTACTGCTTGCCTCTAAATCAAGGTAAAGAGCAGAGCAGGTATGTATTAATGTCACATTGTCTTGATTATCTTATATACTTAAAGTAAACCTTGGTATTAGTTTCATAGGCAGTTTACTTTTTATTATGTAATTTGACAAGACTGACTTGGTGGGAGTGGGGCTTAAACTGAAAATGGGAATAACAGCATGATGTGTAAAAACAGTTTTAGCAGCATTAAGAGACACATGCAAAAATTTCATGGTGCAAGCGTTTACATTGGATGTCAAATAAGTAATACGGTATTTGGTATAATTACAGATAATTGTGATCTGCATTTTAAAATATCAAGAGATCGCCTCAGTGCTTCTTCCCTTACAATGGAGAGTTTTGCATTTCTGTGGGCTGGAGGAAGGGCATCTTATGGTGTGTCAAAAGGCAAAGTCTGTTTTGAGATGAAGGTAATATAACTATGATTTTTTTTTTTTAGGAGAACCTTATGGGATTTTTTTATGAATTAGAAGAGGGGCTTGGAACCTACATTTTGTGAAAATTAAACTGTTTGTCATGTCTGAACTTGCCATATAGAGCCAGTCAGTTCATTTAGGATTCACTTTTTTTATCAGGCACTAGAGAGAGTCTCCGGGAGTTGAAAATAAAATTTGGTTAGATTCTTGATTTTATTGGAGAGAAAAACATGTTTACTTGTGGCTGGATTCAAAGTTGAAAATTAAGAACATTTACTTTAAAATTAATTACTCTTTTAAAGGTGGATCAACCAATTATTTAACTCACACCTTTATAATTTCAAGTAACAAGCACTTAGGTCCATTTAAAAGTACTTGTAAATGGTGGTGGATTAGAGTTAGGGGATCTTCCTTTGTATTTATAACTAAACAAGAGTTAGCCCATAGCCCAGATGAATTAAGCAGAGTTGAGGGGTTACCTTCCTTGGTTTATAGTTTAAACATTTAATGATTTGACTTTCAGGTTACAGAGAAGATACCAGTAAGGCATTTATATACAAAAGATATTGACATACATGAAGTTCGGATTGGCTGGTCACTAACCACAAGTGGAATGTTGCTTGGTAAAGTTTCCTTTTGATTAATGTGGGCTCATGAATGTTTAGGGTCTGATCTTAATATTTTAACTAGACTAAAAGATTCTGAGCCTTTTGTCTGTTTAGTCTTTTAATATTTTAGAGATGAGTAATAGTTCATAGAAGGCACAGGGTAAATTTCAGTGTTTGTTTCTTTATTAAGTTTTAGTGAACAATGGTGGTTATATCAGAATTTGCCGTATGAGGCCAGCCCTTTTTTAATATATTTTCTGAAAATAGAATCTTATCCATGGCATGCAGTTTGTCAACTGTTTTGATTTCTGTTTATATATATATCTCACGTCAATCCTGTATCTCGTACAGAGGTAAATATAAGGTATCATGTCAGTGATAGTTGTTAGGTTATGTGTTCATCATTTCTCTTGTAGTCTAAATAAAAATAGGCGAGTCTCAGGACTGTAAAAATTGACTTCATGAAAGTTAATTATTTTCTTAGGTGAAGAAGAGTTCTCTTATGGATATTCTCTAAAAGGAATAAAAACCTGCAACTGTGAGACTGAAGATTATGGAGAGAAGTTTGATGAAAATGACGTGATTACATGTTTTGCTGTAAGTTATACCTAAATTTTCATGTATAGATGACAAGTTAGTAGCTACAGCTAGGAATTTGTGAAAAACTTTATCAATGGCAGCCTTCGATATGATCAATATAAATACATGATCCCTGGGTTAAAGATTTCATTTAGCAGTTGAATTTTGGAGAATATAGGGCAGTTTTGGGGAACAAGTCACTCATTTTGTCTGAAAACTATTAAACATAAGGTTTTTTTAAGGAAGTTTATAGGAAGTGAATTTAAGCCATTATTTTTCTTCTATATAATAGAACTTTGAAAGTGATGAAGTAGAACTTTCCTATGCTAAGAATGGGCAAGATCTTGGCGTTGCCTTCAAAATCAGTAAGGAAGTTCTTGCTGGACGTCCACTCTTCCCGCATGTTCTCTGCCACAACTGTGCAGTTGAGTTTAATTTTGGTCAGAAGGAAAAGCCGTATTTTCCAATACCTGAAGACTATACTTTTATCCAGAATGTCCCCTTAGAGGATCGAGTTAGAGGACCAAAGGGGCCTGAAGAGAAGAAAGATTGTGAAGTAAGTGGGGTTTTTTTTTTAAGTTGAGTACTAATTCTATATAAGCATAAATTAACTAGGGGCTATGAAAGCGTAGATACTTAAATTGGTTTCTTATTAAATAGCTATAAATAATTAGAGAAATAATTAGGTAGCCTCTGATGATTAGACAGTGAAATGACATTCTTTCCACTGTAGGTTGTGATGATGATTGGCTTGCCAGGAGCTGGAAAAACTACCTGGGTTACTAAACATGCAGCAGAAAATCCAGGGAAATACAACATTCTTGGAACAAATACCATTATGGATAAAATGATGGTAAGTAAAAGGTTTAGGTCCTGATGTCATCATTTAGAATAGATGAGTTATTCTGGGCAACCCTCTTGCCTGTTGTCTTTATTCATTTTGTTAGTATCTTGGAGATGAGGAGTTTAGACAAAACTAAGTTGTTTAATTCAGTAAGCTCTTTATCTGTAGGTAAACTTCCTTCCAGTGGCTAGGCTTCATTGAGTTTTTTAAAATTTATTTTGAACTCTTAACAACCAACAGCTAAAAAAGAACTGAATAGCATAGAGTTTTCTTACATAATAAGTGACCATGTTTTTGTAGCAGTAGTGGGCAAAGGTAACATAATACTTGAATTATAAAATATTGCCTGCTTAAGTATTAAAAACTTAAGTATTAAAAACTTAACTTGAGCCGGGCTCAGTGGCTCAACCTGTAATCCCGCGCCTTGGGAGGCTGAGGTGAGTGAATTGCCTGAGCCTGTGGATTTGAGACCCGTCTGGGCAACTTGGCGAGACCTCATCTCTACAATAAATAAAAAAAAAAAATTAGCTGGGTGTGGTAGCGTGCGCCTGTAGTTCCAGCTACTTGGAAGGCTGAGGCAGAAGGATCGCTGGAGCCCAGCAGGTCAAGGCTGTGGTGACCGGGAGTGGCCAATGCATTCCAGTCTGGGTGACAGAGTGAGACTCCAACTCAAAAACAAAACAAAAAACAAAAAAAAACTTAGCTTGAAATTCACAAGTTGAAAGGAAAAATTTAACTTTAATTTTGAAAATAGGTGGCAGGTTTTAAAAAGCAAATGGCAGATACTGGAAAACTGAACACACTGTTGCAGAGAGCCCCACAGTGTCTTGGGAAATTTATTGAGATTGCTGCCCGAAAGAAGCGAAATTTCATTCTGGATCAGGTAAGCTGTAGATTTGAAGTTGAAAAATGTTAACTGGCAGTTGGGCTTGGTGTGGGTGGATGTTTTGGGTTATTAACTTTTACTTTTTTTTGTCATTGTTAAAGACAAATGTGTCTGCAGCTGCCCAGAGGAGAAAAATGTGCCTGTTTGCAGGCTTCCAGCGAAAAGCTGTTGTAGTTTGCCCGAAAGATGAAGACTATAAGCAAAGAACACAGAAGAAAGCAGAAGTAGAGGGGAAAGACTTACCAGAGCATGCAGTCCTCAAAATGAAAGGCATGGAATTTAATTTTGCTATTACTGTGTTAAATTTCTTTGTGACGTCTGTCTGAAAAATTAATATGTTTTGTCATAGTACTGGTTCAGGAATTACAATAACAAAATGGTAACTTTGAATGTGTGTTTGATTTAGTTGTTTATTCTTAGGAAGATAGGTTGATACTAAGCCTCAAGAACTGTAGATTTTAGGATTGTAGATATTTGTGGTGGGTTTTTAAGTTAATAATTTCACTTTGTTCCCTGCAGGAAACTTTACCCTCCCAGAGGTAGCTGAGTGCTTTGATGAAATAACATACGTTGAACTTCAGAAGGAGGAAGCCCAAAAGCTTTTGGAGCAATATAAGGAAGAAAGCAAAAAGGCTCTTCCACCAGAAAAGAAACAGAACACTGGCTCAAAGAAGAGCAATAAAAATAAGAGTGGCAAGAACCAATTTAACAGAGGTGGTGGCCATAGAGGACGTGGAGGATTCAATATGCGTGGTGGAAATTTCAGAGGGGGAGGCAAGTTAATTTTCAGTGTTCTGTGGATATGTATGTTTCCAAATGGGAACAGCCGATAATCTCAAGTTTGGGCTTAGCTGAATTTTAACTTGGGAAGATAGTTTCTCTTTAATGCTGTGCTGTCATAGAGACTCATTTAGAGTATTCATGTATATGATTTGATATTAAGTATACCTCAGTTATGTGAAGGGTTAAAATTAAACAGTAATTGTCTTTAAACACTTTTTCTCTGAAAGTAAAGAACCCTAAATCTTTTGTATAAGTAGGAAGGTACAACACAACTAAACAAAAATGTTTTTATAGCTCCTGGGAATCGTGGTGGATATAACAGGAGGGGCAACATGCCACAGAGAGGTGGTGGTGGTGGCGGAAGTGGTGGAATTGGCTATCCATACCCTCGTGGCCCTGTTTTTCCCAGCCGAGGTGGTTATTCAAACAGAGGGAACTACAACAGAGGTGGAATGCCCAACAGAGGGAACTACAACCAGGTAATGACTTAATATCGCTGAAGGCACAGATACCTGTATAATTTAGTGTGGAAAGTTACAAGCTTATGTGGCGGAGGCTCAGTAATTGTATGGAATATGTGTATGCATTAACAAGAGGAAAATTAAACTAGTAATGATGAAATGAGTCCCCTTGATTCACTGACAAGTTAAGTGGAATTCTCATAACAAAAGAAACTAGTAGAAGGTGCCCAGAGTTTGTGTATTTGCCCCTAAAATTAGTGTTCATTTCTGTTCCCTCTCATATCCATAAACCTAACAAGCAGTTGGGCTCAGAATTCTTACATAATTTCTCCTTTTTGTAGAACTTCAGAGGACGAGGAAACAATCGTGGCTATAAAAATCAATCTCAGGGCTACAACCAGTGGCAGCAGGGTGTAAGTAATTTCTTATGTGTTTACGTACGTTAATTGCATTTTGAGTTCCTAAGAATCCCAGTTTTGAAAAAGATGTTGTCCAGGGATTGAAATGTTTATAAGTGTTAATATAGCAGGATGTGAATTGTGTTGGCAGTTGTAGCCATAATTTTACCTTTTGAAGGCAAAATAGGTTGGAGTTGGTGTAACTTAATTTAAAACAAAGTAAGATTACTTAATTCATATGGTTTTTTTTTGTTTTTTTTTTTTTTTTTACTGCTAGCTTTAATTGTATTAACTAACCAAGTGATGATGTGTTTCCTTTTGTAACGTGTATTGATAATAATGGAACATTAAAACTAACTACATCTGGTTTGATAGAAATCAGAGGTATGACAGGTATAAATTTGTTTCCAGCAATTACTCTGAATTAGATTCATTGTCATTTCCTAAAAACAGTTTGAGTGGCTTATTGATGTTTTTTCTTTAAAAAAAAAATTTTCTCTTACAGCAATTCTGGGGTCAGAAGCCATGGAGTCAGCATTATCACCAAGGATATTATTGAATACCCAAATAAAACGAACTGATACATATTTCTCCAAAACCTTCACAAGAAGTCGACTGTTTTCTTTAGTAGGCTAACTTTTTAAACATTCCACAAGAGGAAGTGCCTGCGGGTTCCTTTTTTAGAAGCTTTGTGGGTTGATTTTTTTTCTTTTCTTTTTTGTACATTTTTAATTGCAGTTTTAAAGTGAATCGTAAGAGAACCTCAGCATTGTGCACGATAAGAGAATGTGTCAGTATTTCAGGGTTCTACATTTTATCTGTAAAATGTGACTTTTTTTTTTATCACAACAAAAGTAAAATGTTGCTTTGTACCTGGTGTCTTTTATTAAGAATTTACTCCCCCCATTTCTCACAGAGAATAACAGTCGGGAGTCATTGTCACAATATAATAGAAATGTTAGCAACCAGATTCATGTAAGGACTAAGTGGTCCTCATGAATTGCATAAGACTCTGTACTGCTCATGTTACACTCCATCCTCTCTTTAGATTGCTGGGCAGTGGCGGGGGTAAGCTAAAGAGTAGTTTTTGACAATAACTGGGAAGGCTTTTTCTTATTAAATAACAATGGAATTGGTGTAATTGGGACTGAAGAAAAAAACTTGGTATTAAGATAGAGAAGATGGAGTGTATGTAGAAGGGCTGTTAAAAATGTTAAAACTTGGTTGCATTATTTGTGGAGGCTCAAACTTGTGAAGGTTAAATACCATAATTTTTCCATTTGTTCTGCATTTTGATTCTGAAAAGAAAGCTGGCTTTGCCCATTTCTTATTAAAAAAAAACTTGTTGTAAATCCAGTTGTCTAATGGGATCTATATGAAGTTAGCTATGTCTGTATGCCCTTCTCCCACAAAATACTGTATAACTAGTGTGCTTGTAGTAGTTAACTCCACCATCTTTGTAAGCTAATGAAATTGTGAGTCACCCATTTATATCTTAATTTTTAATCATGTCAGTTCTTGAATGGGTATCTCCTTAGCCTGCTGATTTCGTTTTCTTTCTAAAAAAAGTGGGTGGAGAAATTAATTTAGACGTTTTGTTTGCAATAAAAATAATTCATTTTACTCTTGTTTTGGGATTCTCGCCATCAAGGTTCAAAATCCCTTTATATAACTCCCAAGAGGAGAAATTATAAGTGTGTGCTTCCTGGACAGCTTATTCTTTACTCTGTACTTAGAACATTTAGGTTTTAAAAACTTAAATGTACATGATAACTGATTTATGATTATGAAGTAAAGTTGAATTCTTCCCTTCCCCTCCCCCCCGACAACTTTTAACATTTAATGAGGGGAAAAGGTACTGGCTGGGAGAAGTTAACACTCAGTTTATCATCTTTACAAAATGCTAATGGCTGTCCTCAACTGATTATTTTATATACATCTATATGATACATGAAACTCTGGGAACAGACGCTTTTAGAAGCCATCATACAAGCCAGTCATTGATTTCACTACTACACAACACTGCTAACTTGACTGTAGCTATGTGATGACTTAGATCCCCTAATTGTAATTTTATTGGGTTTGCACAGAACACTTTAATCTTCCCCTCACCAATGTGAAGGTGAGGAATTAGGAGTCAAACTGTAGAACTAAAATTTGACTTCAGTCTAGTGTTTTGTTGGTGTTTTAGTTGCTTCTGGTAAGTTTAGGTTTGCTCTATTTTTTGACTGCTCAGAATTTTGCTTTAGCCTTTTAAAGTCAGGTTTTAACTTGAATTCATACTCCCAGGAATTTGCTTGCTGCAAGCTGGAGTTAGTTTTAGGTGATGGTGTAGGACTATTGAGAAATTTTTGGAACAAAGACTAATCCTTAATTACCGTAGGATATTTAACAGTTCCAGGGTAGTGTCTCATGGGTTTCTTTTTTTTTTTTTTTTAAAGCAGTTAAGTTAATGCTAGCAACCACTGGCCTGAGCTACATTTTTCAGTATACATTGTTATTAGGATTACATAGACCCAGAGGAAAAGTTTCAAATCTTGAATGCTGATCAATGTTTAGGTATCCTGAAGTTGTCCTTTGTGCCTTTTAAAAGCCTTGGATAGACTAGTGTGAAATTGTTTCATGTCAAAATTGCAGCAGGATTGTAATGGTCAAATAACACTAGGTAGACTCAGGCATGTATAACCCAGAGAATGTTTGCAGGAGAGAGTGAATAGATAGAAATGCTGCCCAGAATGTTAATATTTTAAGAAGCAATCTCAAGATTAGAGTTAATAGAACTGTCTACACTTTTATAGAAATAATTTTATAAAATATTTAAATTCAGGAAAGGGAATGCACCAAATAGCAAGCAAAAGGGAGAGAAATAGGTATGAAATGCCAAGTTCTGGCAGAATAAGATCTGTGAATGAGAAGCTTGGTTTATTGTTCATCCTTCCCCATGCCTTCCGCCTACCCCCCAGCAAAAATTTGGAAAACAAACAAACAGACTGATCTAAACAAGCCCTGACTGTACCCAGAGGAAACTTATTGTAAAATTGCTGTTGATTTAAGGGATGCTTTCACTAGGAAGTTTTGCAGATAATATACCGAAACATGCTGATTAAAAAATGGGATTGGTTGGGTGAGCTACAGTAAGTACAAAAACAGCATAGAGGTTAATCAGGAAAGAAAACTGAAAGCTGTAAGATACAAATGGTGAAGTAGATATAGAAAGTTTTCCTTGTTATCTAGCCTTTGATGGGCTTGGCTCTAACCTCTTAAAGCAGTGACCAGCTTCTGGCTTTGATATTCAGACAGCAAGATAAAATTCATTAAATGGAGAGTCATAAGTTTGCCACTAAAATGACCAAAGAAAGCAATATTAAGCCTATTTTAAAAAATCAGTTCTCATTTGCCTAGGATAGATTCTGTCTAAAATTAATTTGTAATATGAGCCTAGTTGTCTTGGACTAGCAACAAGGTATGAAGCTTAAAAGCATTTTTCATTGAAGTACTTAAAATTATTCTAGGAAACAACTAATAGGGGTTTTCACCTGGGAATTTTATACACGGACAGCTTGTTGTATACTTATACTATATAAGCTTATACTGTATAATTGGCCTCAATCATGGGAATTGAAAGGCATGTTCTATAAACTTGTTCATGACATTAGTTGACTTTTTATCCTAGGATCATATCTACAGTGGGTTCTACAGCACAAATAAAAATGATGAAATATTTAAAGAGCTTTTTAGGCAGTGGTATATAGATAGGCATCTTGGATATAAAGACCTAATTGTAGATCTTATTTTTTTTTTTAAATCAAAACTAGAATAAACTTTAGTGAAAGACATGAACGTGTCTCTTAGAGCAAGTCTTAATGTCTGGTACTGGACACCATAAATGGATATCTTAAAAGCTTCCATAATCTTCCTACACACAAATGTTAAATGTCTTGTTTTTCGTAAAGTGGATGGAAATTTTAGCAAAAAACAATTATCTACTCAGCCCCCTCAGTATACTCGAAATGTTTCCCCTGGAAAGGTGAACATAATATTGTATCTAAAGACATTTCTTCCTAAAATTTTTTAAGTGGTTTGAGTCTATAGTACTTTGAGTAAGAATCTGTATTTGGGATCTCTTAAAACAGTAATTTGAATTTAGTAGTCTTATAAGCCACAAGCTCTTTAATTTATTGATTGCCTAAATTTACCCTAAAAGTACTTAAACTATGATACCCGTTAGAACCTTTTCCTTTAAATTTTTAGCTTTGAGTTTTTTGACCATAGCTGCTAATTCCTCAAAGCAGACCTGGCTATAGTGCTTTAGTTTTCAGTCATGTAGGTCACCTGGTATTAGTATTACAGGTATATGTTTGTAAAACAAATAAGCATTAAAAGTACTTTGTCCAGCTAACTTATGTCGTAATGACCTTTCTCTTAATAACCCATGTTACTGACCTTGATAATTAAAATAATCCCTTGGGAATGTGGTATTGAGCTACACTAGTGCTAAGATAGCATGTGTCCCTTGAGTGTGTTGAAGATTAAAGACGGGTCCTCAAGTATCTAGACATTCCACAGTTTAAGTTATGTGTATGTTTATGAAATTTGAACAACCAACCAAACCTTACTACATAGATTTCATTATGTCTAGCTTAATATGAATGCTAGTTTATTTGGTATCTGCATCAATTGGATATCATGCAGAACAGCAAGACCTCAGAAAATAAAGAGCAGGTGGGAAATAGCTAAAATACATTGCACTTACACCAAGACTACTTTCACATCTTAGCCAATTGACTAAAAATGTAAGTGAAAAGATTCATTGTCCCAGGAATTCATTTAGTCTGTAAGGGGATACTAGATTGGAAATAGATGGAAGGATTGTGTTCATAATGTTTGTGAAGAATGACTCAATATAATGCCAACGTAGCTGAATCAATTGTGGTTGTAAACCCAGTGTTGGTAGAGAAACAAGATAATTGATAGGCCAGGACATCAATAATCACTGCTTGGTTAGGTGAGTTATTTGATTGGGGAACTTAACCATGTGTTAATTTGTAGTTAACTGTTGTTTAGGAATGCTTTAATTTCTTTCTCACGCCAGGATTCAGCATATACATACTTGCATCTTAACAGGGAACAGGGTTCTGAATGTGATGAGGAAAATTACAGTCTAGGTTAGTCTCAAGAGAAGTGTCTTCTAGAAAGATTTGGTTTCTTTTTGCCTGCACCATTATGGTTATTGTGCTTTGCCAGTGTTAGTTATTCAGGGGCATGTGTCTATACTGCTGGCAGTTAATGCAGGAATTACAGGCTGGAGAGCTAATGGCATCCAACTGATAAAACACTGAACCGTTGTGACATGTGTTTTCCTGCTTTTTTAATAATCCCATTCCACGCTCTTATAGGAAGTAAAATCCATTTTGTCCAAAAAAATATTTTGTACTTTGCAGACACTTAAAGCATTACCACAAATTGGTATTGACCATTCAAGGACAGAGATGGCTAGTGGAAACATCTAATTTATAAGTGACATGAATACTGTGAAAAGTATTAGAGCAGGCATAGAAAAGGTAAAATTAATACTTCAAGATGATTGGGGCTAATTTGAATGGCAACTAACAGTTATTTTTTGAGGTAGCCTGTTGTCTCAGTTGTCTAGTTAAGGGAGAAGGGGAGTGGCATAGTCAAGTACAAGAATAAAAGATTCCAACTTAACTTTTTTTTTTTTTTAAATAAAGCAAAAAAAAAAAAAAATGCTGATTTAAATTTCATCTCCTTTTTCTTAGTCTGTCCATGTGAATGTGCTGTGTGGAAGAGTTAAAGGGCCCAACTAAATGTGTTCCAGTGATTCCAATAGGTATTCCAAATTAATTGCTGCTTGTACATTCAACAGTTATGGTAGGCTTCCAGGATCACCTTAAATAGGTCTCTCGTCTCTCCTTATTTTAAAAAGATGGGGGGAAAGTAACTCATAACTAGGTAGACAGATTGCCTATTTTATTAAATCTGAAGTGAAGTATTTGGTGATCTCTTAGCAATTGGCAGTCCTTCTTGATTAAGCTGACGGGAGTATGTGCAAATAGACCTGAGTCTTTTCAAAGTTACTTTCAAAGCCTCAAATTCCTTCTGTTTGACTTTTTGCAAGAATTTAATATTCTCCCTACTTGTAGTTATTTTCTTACAATCTTCTAATACACAATAGTAAGTCTAGGATACCTTTCTGTCCTTGGTTTCCCAAAATCTTTTCTGCATTTATACTAAATACACGAGTATTTCTTTTTGTAGCTCGTGAACATGATTGGGGTCCTTTTGGATAATGAAGTGATAGATATCCATATCTTAAAGTATACAAAAGCAACCAGGGAACTTAGGATTTAAAAGATTGAAGGAATGGGAAGGCTTGGTGTGAACTTTGTGCCACTTCTGACCATATAATTTTCCATTTCCCTAAAAAGCCTTGATAAGCTTCAAGGAAATTAATTTTTCCCACCATATACTCCAGAATGGCTTTAGGTTAAATGAGAGGACTTGGGCGCTGATTCCAAATGTAACTATCCAGGTTTGCTATGAAAATGGATCTGTTCACAAGTAAAAAGCAGTATAATGGCTTCTGAAGGGCAGGCACCTTTGAG